AAGCTCCTGAACTACCTACGTACTGCACCTAGGACAACTAATGCGCCAACACACACCAATCACGATACCGAACACTGTTACGGGAACATATATACCAACAGTAAAACAAGGCACAAGCAACTGCAACAAAACACCTCGACGATTCTCTAGTCTGACCACCCTACCGACCCGATTCGTATATATGCCCTACCCGGTTCTGACAAGGATTAGGCAAGTGACTGCCGCTGTTTAGTTGGTGAATACAAAGGGTATCTGCAAGTATTATTAGTATGCAGCTATTCTGAGTATTTAGATTGGCCGGCTAGACACCTCTCTTAATCGAACGCTTTGAAAGGCAACATGATATGAAAGTAATCAGCTAAAGTAATACCACATGGCATGCTCCCGATCAGTTTCGGTTTCAGATTCACGCAGTGATAAGCTTACTAATGCCATGTCGCCCCATGCTCGTTCCGCGCGTGTAATAGCAGCAAAGCTTACAATAATACCTGCACTCCTAGTCAGTAATCGGCTAAAGGTAACACAATTCTTAGTCTTGTGTTGTTAAATACCCCACAAAGCCCAGCGTATCATTTGCTACGTAGAGTTTGATAACTCAAAAAGTGACAATAAATTGCGTAAAGCTGAGACCATAGAGTTATTATTGTAATAACTCTGTGGCTAAGACCAAAGCCCACAGTATCGGTTTTGATACGCTGACAGAGTTTTCCGATTTGGTTAGTTCAGCAAGGCCCCGGCAGGCTGCCGCTGACAGCTAGAGCAAGATGACCGCACGCAGCAGCTCGCTCGAAGGCATACCGTCGGCGTCATTTTACTCGAAAAACAGTAAGCCGTCCTATATTCGGCACTTTTTTTTTGCTCAGAAAGTGTTGCGGAACCACATTATTCCGTTCGCTGTTGTTTTTGAGTCCCGTCCGCTTAGTAACATTGCTTGAAATTTCTGCGTATCATTTTCGATACAGTGGGTTGTAATTGATGGCACAATTTTCGTACCAATTCTGACACGTTTTCTTGGTAAAGCTTTGAATGGTACACGTGTTAACCGTTCTTTTATTGATTTTTCCTTCTGATTTTAGGTTCCTAAGTTTGGAACATATTGAACAACATCGTCGCCGGCGAAGATGTCAGTGATTTTAGTAATCTGTCGGAAAGTGACGAAAATGTGTCCCCCCGCCGCGACTGAGCCCTCTGAGACAAGTGATGATGAAGAAACCGTAGAAAATTCCTTCGGATCATCTGTAGCTTCGTCTTCTCGTCCATACACCAAATGGCTAAAGGAATTGCTCCGAAACAGGCATGCTAAATTTTCCGAAGTATTCTCTGAGCCGGATGCCATAGATTTACCATTGTTCCTTTTCCCGCAGTTTCTAAGTACTGATATGCTCACTATGCTAGTGGAGCAAACAAATGTGTACAGTACGCAGAAATACAGCAGCTCCGTGACACAACTCTGCAAGAGCTGGAGCAATATATAAGAATATACCTGAAAATGGGGCTTACAAAATGCCGAACGTCATGTGCTACTGGGAGAATGGGACAAGGTATTCTATCGCTGACAAGAGGTCGAGAAATTGTTCCTTGAAGCTGATGCAATGCATTCATGTTGTAAACAACATGGAAACCACCGAAGATGCGAAGGAGGACAAGTTGTAGAAGATTCGTCCTTGGATTTCATTATACCAGCTCAACCTCTAGAGCATTGAACAAGAAGAGTTCAATGCGGTGGATGAGATAATGATGTTATTTACAGGAAGGAGCTCTCTAAAACAGTACATCCCAAACAAACCGACGCCGTGGGGTTTCAAGCTTTGGGGATGGGCAGGCACAACCGGTGTCCTTTACCAGTTCGAGGTATACCAAGGCCACCCCAAAGAAAACTACATTCTTGGACTAGGGGGTGATACTGTCCTGAGCATGTGGTCTGAAATACCTTCAAATGAAGACTTCAAGGTTGCAGCTGACAATTGTTTTAGCTCTTTGAACCTTGTTGAAGAGTTGACGAGAGGAATACGTACGATGTAACTCCGAGGCGAAATCGGCTGAGAGACTGCAAACTCCAGGATGAGAAGACTGAGAAAAGTTGGCCAAGGTTCACATGATTGCAAAGTTGGCAATGACAAGGGAATTGTGGTAGTTCGCTAGTTTGACAGGAAAGCTGTTACCCTAGTGTCAAACTTCGTCTTTGTTGAGTCAATTCAGCAAGTCTATCGGTATGCCCGAAAGGCCAAACTCCACATTGACATCACCCGCCTGGCAATTGTTGGTATGTAAAACAGTTTTAGGGGGGGGGGAAGGGGATCGACTAGCATAATTATCAGGTGTCGCTGTACAAATACACCATTCGGTCGAGGCGCTGGTACACGTACCTCATATATCGTGCTGTCTTCATCTGCGTCGTGAATGCGTGGAATATTCACAGGCGCCAAAGTCATCAGCTGAAGGAGCGGCCACTCATGTCGAGAACCTTCATTGCCAGTTTATCAGAAAGCCCGATCTCTACTGGAAAAGCACCAAGATGACGGCCGGTCAGTCTGCCTTCGCCTCCGATGAAGAAGAGGAAGTTCACGCCAAGTCATCCCCAAGATGACGTTCCAAAAGACGGGGTTGGGCATCTTCCAACTGTGGCGAGCAACCGACTTCGATGCAGGAACTGTGTGTTCAGTGTGAACACATTTAGCACAGTTGTGTGCGCGAAATGCAATGGAACTCCGAGTCTGAGCAAGTGACGCAACTGTTTCTTTGAATACCACAAGCCACGAGACTGCAGCTGGCAAGGACGTAGCAGAAAAGCCGTGTATCATATTTGATACGTTCAATAATTTTTTACTGGTTTGAAATTTCATTGTTCCTTTTTGTATGAATGTACTCACCTTAGCCATAAATAAAGGCACACAAGTTTCTACAATTTTAATTTGCCTAGAAATATGCTTGAGAATAGGTGACAATGGTAGCGGGCAAACGCTGGCGGCACGCTTTCCCGCGTTGGTCGAGTGACCGATGAGTCGCTCTACTCGCTCCACTTTAGAATCCCCTAAATTATACTCATGTGAAAAAAAAAGGAAGGGAGTACCTGTAAAAGAAATAAAAACAACTAGCATAGCCGAGGTTTCTTCTTTCTTTTTTTTGTGCTACATTCGGAGAACATGTACACCGATATCAAATTATTTTAAATCTTTCAGTTTTCTGTTGACAAAAAGGGTTGGCACTTTGCACGTATGGGGACACTTGATATAAACAGTGTATCAAGCTCAAAACATTAGGGCATTACAACCAAAACTATACTGTGTATATATATATAAAATGGATATAACGAAGACGAAGTGCTCAGGTGGCAATTGTTTGTATTCTTTTATTTTCCAAACATGATTATACAATTTTATATTGAAACTATTTTCCTCTAAAAAATAAATAAAACTCCCAAAACAACCTTGTAGGTACTTTTGAGACATTGTGGAAATGGAAATCTGAAAAGGAGTCTTTTTCCAGCACCAGACTAACGAACTATAATAGTTATAGCAATGATACTTTCAAAAGCCAGAAACAACCCTTTGAATATGAAACAAACCAGAAAACTTACATAGAAACAGGGAACGTTTAACCAAAAAACAATGTTATGTATGCATTACAAAAATATTAAATCATCAAAATATGCAACATCACAGGCACTTCACCATTCTAAAAAAAAATACCTGAAAATATGTATAACACAAAACGGTATATGATTTACAATAAGCAAGATACTGGGCCATAGAACCAAAGTTTCAACAATAAAAACAAGTATGAGTGGGTACCCAATTGATAACCGGAATGGTTATTTTTGGGGTTGCGGCTTGGATGAGCGCCCCCCGAAGCGGCCGCCATGCTTGTCAGCCGATCTATCCGCTCAGTGGTGCAGGGATTGTCCGTCGTCAGACATTCTGCTAATTCCGGTACGATATACCACCCTGATGATGCATTTGACGACGTTTGACGACACGACACCGTCGCCGCTCGTACACGATAAGCTTCTGCGAAGCCGAAGGAGACTACGCAGCAGCGTGCTCCGCGCCTCTCTACCGTCTGATGTGCCTCAAGGAAACATTTTATTGGCATTCCTTATATAGCAGTCTACATGACAGGTAAGGAGGTGGCAGTGACGGCATGACAGGGCAACGTTTACGCCACGCACCACACAGCGTGCATGACTTAGAACGATACATAAACTGATAGCCAGGCTTGAGTGGTTCAGGCCTCGCGCCTCGCTTTTTACTGATCACTGACCGCTTTTTACTCGTGACCATTTTTTGCTACTATGAGCTGCAATTGAGGCGCACACGCTACAATATTGACTACAGCCTTATTTTAAAATAAAAAAAAAAAGTTACAAGCGACACTGCTTGCTCATTGAATTTGAAAAAAGAACCACTCGCAAGTTGTGTCTAGAGGCAGGGATATGTATATTTACAACAAAAACAAACCTCTAAAACCCCGAGAATGCTTGAAGCTGTGGCTCAAGTAAAACGAACCAGAATGTTTTTGGAACTGGTGGTTTCTTTCTCAGCTACCTCCATTTAATTTAAGAGTGATTAATCAATATCAATTTCACTTCACTGATCTTGACAAACACTATAGTGTAAAACAAAACAAAAATGTCGCGAATAAACTTAGTTTTACAGCTGGTGACTCCCCCCCCCCCCTCTCGTTATTGCTCGCAAATATGTGAGCGCGCCTGTCTAGCTGCAGTTCAACACAGTGTATTGTTTGCACGCTTCGAATGCTGCATAAGTTATGTCGTGCAATGATGCAACACATAAAGGACATTTTATAAATAGACCTTTTACAAAATTTTATTAATCAACACTGGCGGCGGGCATATTATTGGCTCTGCTTCGTACGCGAAGCGTGTGATTGGGCGCGAGTTTATGAAGAGCGCTGACGCAGTACTTGTGTCCAATGCATGCTTAAAGTGGACACCCAAGATAAGGCAGCCGCGAATAATTGACGACGCAGCTTTTGAATGTTTTGTCGATTTAATCTCTGTCATGTTTTTTGATATATCTATTGAGCTTTTTTGGAGGCAGAGCTTTCTGTGATGACTGTAGCTTCGCAATGGTCGCCGAAATCCAGTCAGTGTAGGCGGGCACCCTGGTGAAGACGCCATACACCGGAGCCACGGCACAGCCTTTGCCGTACGAGACCACGCCGACGAGGATGGATGAACCGCTTTCCTTTTGCACGGCTGGACCGCCGGAATCCTCCTATATACAAACGCGACATCAGTGCTTTTTTGCGAGGTACTCACTCAAGTTAAAGACAAGCTGTAACTTATACCGACTAAGTCGCTGGCCAACATGAGCTCATACCATCTCCCGTGTAGTTTAATTATGCTATAATTTGTAAGATAAAGAGTGCACATACTCGGAAAGTAATTTTTGGGATATGTCCTACCTATGCTTTCATATACTGGAAATTCAGGTGTGCATTTAAGAAAAAAATATGCTCTGCCTACATCCAGTTTATTAACCCGGCTGGGGTCACCCTCCGCATATTTTTACATATATATGCAAGTCAATTCTTGACTAAAGCAAGCAAGAAATGTGCTTGCTTGCAGCCAGATATGACACTCTGTAGCTCGTTATTTTTGTGAAGGCCAGAGCGTAGTAGTCCTCACTTGGGAGCTCTATATTTCATTCAAGTAAGCTTGGAGAACCCTATAGTACAGGAATTCCCGTAAAACAAGCATGAAGCTTTCAGACGTCTCTCACCTGGCATGAGTCCATTCTAGGGTCTCCGGCGCAGAACATGATCTTGGAATTGTATCGTCTCAAAGTTGTAAGGTTACAGATTTTATGTGATATTACAGGAACTGATACACCGAGCAGATGCGGTGAACTAGGTCCACCTGAAATAAGAAACTTCACGATTAGAATTCTCTTTATATCTAAGAAAAGGTCCATGGAATATATTCTTGGTTTTTATAGTGAAACATTAGGAAAACAAAACACGTCAGACGTGCCTGCCAAGGAATATCTTACAAGTAAAGCAACTTCCAGATATGCAGATTGTCTGGTCCCCTGGACACGAAACTCTCGAAGGAAACGAGGCGGCACACGCCGCTGCCCGCGCCTATACACACCAGGTCGTTTCACGAGAGGGAGCACATTTCCAAGCTAAAGACACCGTCGAGCCCACGAATCTCCAAATAGTTTTATTATTTCTTTGTTTATTTATTACTGCGAGTCATAGACTCACCAAGAAAGCAGTGGGTACATAGTGGAAAATAGCACATAATAAAAATATGTGGTACGACATTACATCAGAAAATACGAGGAAATGCTTGTTTCAAACACCGATGCGCTTGATTTGTTTACAATGATTTTGTGCAAACTATTCCAGGCATCTAGAGATCTCACAAATAACAAAAATTTAAATACATCAGAAAAGTAGGGTTAGGAATCAATATGCGTGTAATGCTTATGTCTAACGGTTCTCGGAGTCGGAAAAGGTATACATTTTTGTTTGTCTAACTTCTCGGAATCACTAACAATTGAGAAGAACGTTTTAAGGGGATTATTTTTCATATTTGCTTCAATCGTGTGAACTCCAGCTCGATTTCGCAATTCTTTCACAAATGTGGTTGATCTGAAATCATTCAAAATAAAGCCAAGCGCCCTGTTTTGTACTCTTTGCAGTGTTTGTATGCTTTGACGTATTTAGGATTCCAGAATATACTCCACTATAGCCACCTGCACCTATCCAGTGCCGAAACTCCCATCTATCGAAGACTACAAACTAGCTCTTACTTCCACACTTCCCTACTCCATGCCATGTACCCCACCCTCTACCTGCTTCTTGTAAACACTGCCACCACCCACCACCCTGGCAACATCTACCATCTTGTATGAAAGTGTCAAAAAACCCGATTCATTTCTGATAATCCCCAACCCCCATACGAGCAGTGGGCGGCAGAGCTGACCAGTCTTAAACTCTCCTCCCAGCGTAGCCTGGCGGAGTGGGCCAGGGTAGCCAGCACCGGCCAGGATATGCCGGAATCGAGAAACCCCCCCCCCCCCCTCCCAGGCGGGTGGCCAGACATCCGCTCCTGGCCTCAATAAAATTTATTCCCTCTCCTCCTCTTAAACCGTTAGATTGGTATCCGCTGTGAGTAGAATTTTTTAAAAAAATCAATGTTTTATGAATGACAAAAATTATTGCTTAATATTTCCCAGCGAAACCGAAAGGCTGTGTCTCAGAAAACAATCGAAAGTTACACGACATATGACAATGAGCGGGGGGAAACGGAGGTTGTGAGGAAAATGGCCCGTCACTGAGAACCACCACTAAGGGTGTGACGTGTTTGTTTTGCTTATTTCATCGCTACAGCTTGACCGACACACTTATTCACAAAAGCAAAATGCTGTTGCGACACAAAATAAAGAAATAAAAATCCAACATCAACGAAGCGACATTTATTTATTTTCTAAAGCCAGATTCACGAAACGACCCTACGCTAAAGATATGGACACGACAAAACGTAAGACGAAATTGGTATTCACGAAACAAAATTAGTGTAACTTTTGCGGAAGTTACAATGAAATCCCACGACAGCTCCGGAGCTGTCTTACACACTTTTTACAATCACATCAACATTGTTCAACAGCGTCGCTCAGTTACTCGGTCGCGACGACCAGCGGACATCTCTTTTTCTACGTGCTGTTCTCGCGCGTCCCGAGTTCAATCAGCAGGAAAAAAGAAGGAGGTACTTGAAACCGCTCACGACAAACGTGAACGCTGGGTCCACAATCACCCGGGAAAAGATACAACGGCAACGATCCCACCGACCAAGCGAGCTCGGCAGAATATAAGCCCAGCAGGCGCTCCGACGTGTTCTGTCGCAGCGTTCTCCAACCGCCCTTGACCAAGACCGTCTGCCCACGACTGGCTGGCTTGCAGAATAGAATATGCTCGCGCGATCCTTGTGGACCCTTCCCGTAATAATAGTTTCATCGCTGAACACACTTTTAGAGTAGAAGGTCACGTTCGTACCGCCGCTCTGGAATCTGCCCGAGCGCGCCAGCCGACTCCTTTTACCCGCACGCTGGCGGAGCAGGCACGCAGCGCCATTGCGTGGGCGCTCCTTGAAACTGATGCGTGGCGGCCCCATCCCTTAGATTTCGCGTTCATTTCATTGCCATTTTTGTTTGCTTTCTGCGCAGCTTCAAAGCTGTGAGACATCAGATCGCTCCTTCATTTAAGTGCCGTTTTTCGTGGCTACAGCTGCACTTCGCACCATTTTGAGAGGGGAATTTAGTCGCCGTTTGGCTAGGCTTTTTTCGCGCCTTCAAATCTGATGAATTCGGCCCGCTTCATGGGACAATTAATGCTGTCGCATTAATAAACGCCATATGAATTACCTACGCAGCACGGTTTGTACAGTCGGGGACAAAAGTCCACAGGACGCGCGAGCTGCGACTGAAACGCATTGCTCTGCCATCTCCCGGTGGATCGCCTGGTTTCGAGATCGCACAAAGCGCATGCGTGCCCTACTGTAACTGCACACAAGTCTGTTTTCCCGCTCTTATGCGGCGCGGCGCCTAACTCGGAATCGGGCGCGTGGTACCGCCTCGGAGATAGAGCTTAGTGACATGGCTCCTACGAAGCAAGAAGTCCCGGCAGCTCAAGTGAGCGATATACTCAACTGGTCATAAACAAAGTGCGCTGACACGGCGAAATGAGGCGCAATGCCGCAAGCGGTATCTGCAGTTTTGAAATGTGTAGCAGACGCAAGTCATCCGCGAGCGCTCTCTCTGAGGTGGTACCACGCGCCCGATCCCGAGTTAGGCGCCTCACCACACAGGAGCGGGAAAACACACATGTTCGCAGGCAAAATAGAACGCGCATGCGCTTTTGTGCGAATCTCAAAACCAGGCGACCTGCCGGCAGATGGCAAAGCAATTCGTTTCAGTCGCAGCTCGCGCGTCCTGGGGACTTTTTTCTCCGACTGTACCCTTTGTTATTAACGCGAAAGCATTCACTGTCCCTTAGAACGAGCCGATGTCATCAGCTTTCAAGCTGCGCCAAAAGCAGCGCCAAACAGCAGCTAATTCCCCTCTCCTAATGGAGCGAGGTGAAGCCGTAGCCACGCAAAACGGCAGCGAAATGAAGCGGCAATCTGAAGTCTACCAGCTTTGAAGCCATGCAAAAAGCTACGCAAAGGGGTAGCACCCCATGGCGAGGCGTGCCCGTGCCGCCAGCGCGCAGCCGATTCCGGGCTGCCGACAGAGCGGAGGCACGGCCGTTGTCAGAGAGGCGCTGCAATTTTACGAGGACGCGCGGCACGGCGACATTCGTGCTTTAGCATTCACAACTCATAAGAAGTGCTTAGGTATACCTCGAGTCTTTTTAGTAAGCCATTTTTATTTTGACAGGACGGTATATCACCCACGAGAAATAACAGTATGTGGGAGCTACGCGATGCCGGTCAGACCTTCCTTTGCCGAGTGTCACGTCAGTATCGAGTTGCAATCGTAAAAGGTCGGTCCCGAAGCGCTTACCAATTAGACGCGGTCCAATAGCGCAAATCGAGCAGTTCGATCAAACGCGCACGTCCGCTTTGAGTGTGAAAAGGTATTTACGTGGCTCTTGCTAATACTCTCGTAGTTGAAAGGTATCTATTTTTAACGTCGGCACGCTCCTGCATCTCCGAGGCCGCGAAAAACGCCGTGGCGATTTGTTTCTGTCTACGCCGCTTTGCAAACGACTGAGACGGGTCATCTTTTATCAACAATAACAGCTGTGTTGACATTGTAGCGATCCAGGTTGTAGGCATCAGCAAAAGCGGTTATCCCGGCCCCTCTATTCGGGAGCGTTTGCACCGTGTCAGTGTCGACATATCACTGCACGGACACGAATCTCTGACAAGTGGTGGCGGAAAGCGCGCCTGTGATTGTTATTAAAAACCCACGTGATCCGAACTGCTCTGAATCATGCCTAGCTCTCCGATTGGTTGTTCGGGTTGCCGATGAAGCTTTCGCCATAGCAACAGCCCGGTCTCGCAGGTATCAGGAACTTGCGTTACACCGGAAGATCAAGTTCTTCCCTATAAGTACGTCGCTTTCCTCCTCTCGCTTAAGAACACGTTCGTGAATACTGATTTCTCCTCTTCTTATGGTGTTCTTAACTTACGCACTTTTTAGCTAAGTTGTCGTAACCTAAGAAGCTATTCGTGAATCTGGCCTCTTCTCTTCTATAATAAATTAAGTATATGTGTAAACGAGTGAGCGAGCGATTACGTAAAAAGTAAGTAACAAATGTTTAAATTATTGTATTTAGTATACCTTAGAATGAACCTAAAAGCATCTGGGTCCACGGATACGTACTCTTGAAAGAACGCTGACGATATGACACATAAAATTAAAAAAAAAAATGCAGAACTCTTGGAGGACAAGCTGTAGTCTATAACGTCAGCAAAGCAAAGCTGAAAGTGAAGTCAATAAAACATTCTAAGTATATAAACTATGCCTGCCATAGCAGTCAGCTTCATCAAACACCCATGAGCAATCGCTTGACATAGAAAAGGTTCTTGCAAAGAAATATGGACCTAGCGGGAGCTGCAGCAAAGTTTTCAGTTTCACTAAATAGGACTGTGTATTTCCGTTTAAAAACGAACGCATTTACAGAGTTTTCTATAAAATTTCTGCTACACGCGTTTTAGACCTTTGTGAGTTTGTATAGTTTAGGTAGTACCGTGCTATAGGAAAAAAATATCCATTTAGAAAAATTAAAAGCAAACCGACTCCAAAACAGAAAAAATACAAAGATCACATGTCATTCTACTATGACAACACACAGCTAAATTATATGACATCGCTTCTCAGAACTTTAGCTTTCTGCCCAAGGCAC